ATGACAGGATGGGAACGCTGATGGTAGGGGGTAGGAGGTGTCAACAATTGATAGGAAGGGATAAGAAGCCTTAAAAGGCAAGAGCCATACTTTCCTTTGTATTAACGATGAAGTCTTGACACTTTTGTAGGTGATGGAGGACGTGAAGGGACCGTAAATGATTGGTGTCAGGGAAGGATAGCAAGTGTTAGGGACTGATAAGAAACATAGAAGGCGAGAGCCACTAGATCTGTAGCGCACTTTCTGTTAATAATTGAATCTTGGAATTTTACTAGGTTATGCAAGATGTAACATGATCATAGGTACTCGGTGACGGGATCGAGAATGGTTTGTGCCAGGCCAGTGGCTGATAAAACTGACAAGGGCTAATGAAAATCCTGGAAAGCGTAGAGCCACTATAATAATGGGATTAATAGTGGAGCCTTGACAGTTTGGCATGTGATGTGGTGTATGGCTGAATCGTAGACGACAGATGATAGGAAGTGATAACGGCTGATAACAACTGACAAGAGCACTTACCAACTGAATTTAACTCCGGTGCTATTTACGATGTATTTATGATTACGACTATTATAAAGATTACGACCGCTACCCAGCAAGGTTTGTAACTCGGTGTAAGATCAAGGTTCCTTTATGTTTCGATATCATTTACGTCAAAGCTCAACTGACCGCCAATAGTTTGGGATACTCAACTAATGATGTACCCGTGGAGTAAAGAAGGTCTAGTGATAACGACATATGATAATGGTGGGGATGTGGTGCACGCATTAGCGTGCATAGCCCAACTGGTATAAAGATATATGATGTAGATAGTCGTCATTTATTTTCTAGAAGTAAGCGCTCTCGATAAACGGCTTATGACGCCATTATTTAGGTTCTAACGTTCTCTCCATTTTTCCGGGTGTAATGGAGCACTTTCTCAGGGTTGGCGTGGTACAGGCTCATCGCCAGCCGTAGTTGTCGTTCTTATGAGCGAGCGAAAGTTGTCACCCCAGTTTCATGAATTGTGTTGTTATTTCGTGTCGGTTGTCACCATTTCACGATAGCCGAGATTGACGTGGAATGGCAAAGAATCTAGTTGATAACGCGATCAGAGAGGATGATGAAGAATAGCAATTGTTAAAGAATATGAATGGCGTAAAAGCTTGTTGAGTTTGAAATCTTAATCCACACTTGACGCTTCCTAATAGGAATATTCTAACAATGTGAAAAAATTGAAACCCCATCACTGTTGGGAGAGCACTGATCGAAGACAAAAGGAAGTGGTGTCTAGTATGCGATCAGAAACGGTGAACCAATCACATGAGAGGGATGATTTGTTAAGAAAATCTTTGATTCTCACATGTAAAGAAAGAGAGCTTGGCATAAAACTATTGATCAGCTTGGTGTTGTGCAAACAAGTACCTTCATGAAAGCACTTTCTGCTAGAATTCTTTTTATTCGAGTGGCAAGGGGCGTCTGCAAAGCGATAGATGAGCGAAGCAGCTTTCAGATTAGTGTAAACGTCAGTTGAGTGTACTTTTGAATTAGTGGTTTTTGAGTTTTGTCAGTTGTTAATAGCGAGAACAGGCAAAAATTGACCAATCATCCTCACTTCATATAAAGCGCTCGCATCTGTCTGCAGGTCCGTCTGTTTGTAAAAAAACCAGGCGGCTACGCACGCTATCGCGTGCGCGGAGGGCTTTAGCCATAAGGGACGCAGCCACATGAGCTTTTGATTTTCATTATAGACGTTTATCATTTGAGCCTCTTCCCTGACACTACTGCAGCGTCCATCATTTTTTTTTTGTCTCATAGGAAGCATGGAATTTTTCCGCTAGATCACGAAAATTCGGACTGACCGGCAAGCACTTCAAGAAGGGTGTTTGATATGTAACAGAAAAGTTTGTCCTGCTCGGCTGGAGTATTAGCATCGTATACACAACACTTGATTTTGAACATGTAATTTATCAAAGCAACACTTCTGTATACACAATATATCGGCTCGCCCGGCTGACGCCGGGTTCTCCTCCTTCTCGTGTTAAAATGGCCTCGCACTGCACCACCCATCAAATTTGAGCGTTCTATGTCCACGGGAACAGGAGCTATGAATGTCCACTCGAACCCCGCCCACTGGCCCACTGTGGGCGGAGTCTGGTCTTGCCACCCATTGTAAGTGTTCCCATCCTGTCGCCTGTACTCCTACCAAACTTGAACTATCTAGGTTCATGAGGGCAGGGGTTATGAATTTTCGCCCGAATCCCGCCCCTTGTGGGCGGAGTCCGATTCTGCCATCCACCATAAGTTTTCCCATCATACTGCCTGTACTCCTATCAAGTTCGAACTTTCTAGGTCCACGGGAACCGGAGTTATGATTTTTCGTATATAAATGTAAGAA